CAAATAGACTCATTTTCACTATGTAAAGTGTGCTAATTTTGCACATACTCTATAAATCACCATGTGTTGATAACCTCTCTATGCTAAAGATGGGAGGACGCTCCTTTTTATGAAATTACATTCAGCTGTTGAATAATTTAAATCTTCAGCCTTGTTTGGAAGATCGGGCTTTCATTCTATGGTATCGTTACACTGACAGACTTTTTTCCAGTAGTACTCTGATGCCAGTCGTAGAGTTGATCACAAACTATAACATCTCAGGTTTACTTTACTTTACTTTCTTTACTTGCAAATAAGACATCACATATAGGTAAATTCTAAATCTAGAAAATGTTAATGTAAATCTAAGTCGTAGGGAATAGAATGAGATGGTGAATACCACTTAAAATTATTCATAGGATGTATATTTCACTGAACTGGAGACACTACCTTGGTTCCGATCCCTCTCCAATGTCTCTTAAGTGTAAAACAGAAGCTGGGATTTTGATGCGCTGTTTCTAGTCCAGTTTTGTTTGCAAAGTTATTTGCCATGTATAACCTGTGACTGTGAGTTGCCTGTTAAAAATGTGACTTTGAATAATTAAAGAAGACTAAATTGCATACTCAACTTTTCTGCAGGGAAAAACATCCTAATGAAATGGATTAGTGCTAGACGATGTACTGTCGAAGGCATTGCAGCAGGTATTGGTACCATTACATTATTTACCAGGCAGAATAGAATCTATTAGAATAGAATAGAATAGAATAGAATAGAATAGAATAGAATAGAATAGAATAGAATAGAATAGAATAGAAAATCCATTTAATGCCTCACAATGAGGAAATTGTGGTATTATAGCAGCAAAAGATTATAGCAAAAGTGGTCTGACAAATGTGAAACTTCAACAAGTGTATGAAAATAACAGAATAAGTGACGGAGCTGATAAAGTAATCAAATGAAATACTCTACTGTACAGTGTTCTTACAATATAAATAATGTGCATCTGGAACTAATAAATAATCAACAAACAGCTGTGGACATTTTTACTGTAATGGATATGTGGAAAAAAATAACATCAACACCACAGATGTGCAAAAATGACAACAGCATGTTATTTAACTGACTGCGACAGAAACTGTACAAAATCTTCATTAATGTACCAACATATTGAGGCTGTTGGCAACAGAGGTGGTTATAGAGTCTTACAGCTGCTGGGAGGAAGGATCTGTGATAACGCTCTCTGTTTTTTCAAGGTTTAGGAGTCACAATTAGAGAACCTGAAAATTTGGAAAATCCAATCAAAACCTAAATTACATTTCAACTTTAACATATTCCAAACTAAAGTAAAATTCAGAACAAAGTGGGAGCTTTAGACTACAAACATATTCAAACAACTTGAACTTTTTAGCATTTTGTTATTTTACAACAGAGAACTTATATTTGTATTTTGACCATATTTTGTATGGTAGTATATTAGAAAGTCAGATGCAACAGTGAGATGGAAGGAACTAACTTTACATTTTTGTGACACACAAAGATTTTAAGTTTGTTGATATTTAGAAGAACCAATCAAGGGTGGAGTAGTAAAAGAAGGCCTGATGGACCAAAAATGGACATTTGACCCATATAACAAAAAACTATGCATGGACGAACACACTCGCCTTCAGGCAAAGTGGTAGGTGCATCATGGTGGGGGACATTTATTTTTTCAACAGAAACAGGGAAGCTGGTCAGAGATTAAGGATAAGGTCAAAATACAGGGCAATCTAGGGGGAACATCCTGTAGAAGCTCCAAGGGACATGAGACTGTGAAGTAAGTAAGTTCCCTTTTCAGCAGATATGTAGGTGTGCAAATGTGGTGCACACATACCACAACAGATTGGAAGGTGTAACCACAGTTAAAAAGACTGATTTGAAAAGGGTCAACTTGAATTTTCATTTCACATTAGTGTGTTGGATACTCATCTAAAAATCCAATCAAATAAGTTTTGTATTTAGTTTGATCATGTATGGGGTATGAAAACATTGAATAGAACTACCTTTATTTTCCCTAATTTACATACTGCTAAAATTGTAGCTTCAAACATGAAGACTATAAAATAAAAACTGGCCTGCAGACTGAGAAGTAAATGTTTTAACCAACAACAGCTTGTCTGAATAAAACCTCTTTACAGCTGGGCACAGAGTCAGGATTTCTTTCAACAATATGTTGCAGCAGTATGTAAAAACGTTTTTAAATCAAAGGATAATCTGAAATACAAAACATAAATGGAACCACAGAGTGAAGAGCAAATCTCTGGAAAAAGTAACCTAAAGTCAGTGTCCAATGGAAAAAGAAAAAAGAAAGAAAAAAGGGAAGATCTGTCTGCTGAAAGCTTTTTATGCCCACTCATGAAACATGTTTTGTTATTTACAAAGATTTTGTGTGTAGGAGTATTCTGACCTTTTTTTTAATCAAATGCTAAAATGTCATTATTAAAGACCAGCTAAACATTGATGTTATGTAAGAGCGGTATAAATCTTTCTTTAGCAGTATTATCTCTGAAAACCTTACAAAAGATGCAATATAGCAACTCATGTAATATTCTTAACACCAGCTCCAAATATATCTGCCCAGAATAACTAATTTAAAATACATGTAATGCTTCCATTACATCTACTAAAATAGATCCAGCTTCTCTCAAACTAAACAGTTTATTAAGCCTAACGCCTGCACTGAATGTTATTTCCAGACCGTCTCCTCCAAGCAGAGATCATTAGGATGATGTTCTAAGAACAGTGGTTTCCACCCCTCTCCATTTGGACTCATCATCTTTCATGTCCATCACAACTGGTAAACACACAGACACATTTAAGGAATGCCAACACAAATGCTGTTTGTTTACTTTTGCCCTGTCTCTCCAACTTCACTCAGTAAGTTCTGCTCTTCTATGTTTGCATTGTAAACCTTCTCTGTCTAAAGCCGCCTTAGAAATCGTAATGAGGAATTGCAAACATAAACGAATACATGTATTTGCCTATAGTGAGGGCACTTCTTCATTTTTGATCTATTTCATTTTTCAGACCTGACACTGTGGTTAAATTTAAATCAGATTTTTTTTTTTTAAAACATGTTTTAAGAGTACCAATGTTGTTTGGTTACTCTATAAAGAGTTTACCCATACAACCTTATTTCTATACACCTTTATATAGCCTACATTTTAGCGTTTGTTATGGTAGGACACCTTACTCAGAAAGGATTGGTTGTATGATAAATACAATACACATATACTGCCCCCTACTGGTGAGAAACTATAAATGGATGATTGAGACAAACAGGATTTTAAAAGAAAATCCTACCTCTTTAATTTCCCCCTTAAAACACATTTCAGCCACGAACCTCAGTTTATATTGCAATTTGTCTGATAGAGGAACACACATTTTCAAACGTTTTAATTTCTTAGAAAAAAAAAACTCAGAACCAACCCCACTTACATTCACCTCTCAACTATAGCTGTATATTCTTTCTGTCATACTTTATCCAGTATTGTAACCTTACTAATATATAATCCATATCATATATTTCCTGTATAATCTTTATATAGTTTTTCATATTTATTTGACAGCCTCTTACAATTACTCTGTTTATAAATACCATTTATATTCAAAACATACATAGTTTCTATGCACATGTAGATATTTATATCCTGTATAGCACTTCTGGAAAAACAAAAACTACATTTAATTGCTTTGTACTTGTGACAATGTAATGACAATAAAGCTAAATTCTATTCTACTCTGGAATTCAATCACCTTGAGTCAGTGTTTTAGTAAACCTCCTACTGTAATAACACCTGCAAGTGTTTGGGTATAGGCTGTTTTTTTTTTTCTTAAATCATCCCTGTTTGGTTCAATTCTTGTCAGAATTCAAATTTGACCTTTTTCTTTTAGGCCTGGTCTATGACTAGTCCAGTTTGATAAGTGTGCACTTTGATATAATTTAGTTGACTCTGCGGCTTTAAATTCCCTTTGCTGCTAAGAAGTGAACTTCCTGCCCATGCAGTATTTTGCCAACTCTAGAGTACTTGTACCATTCTGAATTTGAAACAATCCTCCCATCAGCGCATCTCCACTGAAAAATGTATTCCCAATATTACAATCTCACCAAAATTTGACACAGTGAGGTTTATGTGCATGTAGGCAAGTTTTCATCCGAGAAATATAATTCTTCAAGTTTTCGCTGGTGAATAACAGTTAACCGGACATATGGCTTTTTTCCTGCCAATTTCCATTAAGGCCACATTGTAGAATACCTGAGAGGTTGTTCCCAGGATGTCGTGGATCTCTGCAGCTCCTCAAGGTACCATGGGAATCGTTTTATACAAATACATTTAGGTACTCATAAAATATGCTGTCCTTGTCCAGCCTGTCTGTTTAGGTCAGCTGCCATATTTCTTTCATTTTCAGGTGGTGAATTGAAAAATGACCTTTGTGATTTTCAGACCTTTGTATCGTTTTTATAAGTTAAAACTGAACTTTACAATTTATTATCTAAGGGGTGGCTAGATGATGACTTTTGCAGACACGTGATTTTACAACAAATTACAGTGTATCCTTTTCTTTCCATCTTAAAGTAATAAACTAGTATATTGTGCTGCAACATAAAAATCCGACAAAGGGCAGTTGGTTTACGTTAGTAACATGACAAAAACCAGAGTGGTTTGCAGAGTACTAATACTACAAGTATTAGGGCCAGGCTAGAGATTGTTTTTTTTTTTCCGAGAATAAAGCTAAAAAATAACAAGAATGAAGTCATCATACCACAAGCTGTTTCAGAAAGAAAGCTTCGAGCTCCGACCAGCACCACCAAACAGGACGCTGAGACCACTTTGGCATACTGCCGAATTTGATGCTGGTGTTAAAAGACTTAATATTTCCTTATTTGTCAAACTGGTGCCAAAGTATAACTTCACATGATGCTCAACATTTCTTATTTTAGGGAAGTAAGTCCTAAGAGTTGTCATTCAATACAATTTTATTGTCGTTATATGACTTTATTCTCAAAATAAAAAAAATCTCTAGCTTTGACCTAATACTCCGTCGTACTAATACATCTGCTACACAATAAAAAGGTATATCTCAATCATTCCTGGAGAGGTCATAGGTCAAACAGAAGGTAGGATAAGGTAAGTATATATTCTCATAAATCACACAATCAACATATTAATACAACCATAAACAAAAAAAAAAACGAGAAATCATGAGAGGTAAAAAAGAAAACTAAACAAAAGAGATATTGAGGAACTGAAACTGTATGAAACTGCACTTAAGGATCCTATAGGTAAAAAGGAAGAGGACTGTGAAAAAGCTGGTTAAATTTACAGATATTAATATAAAATACATCAAAAGTGAACAAATGTTTGATTATTTACATTGGATTGTAAGCTTCAGTTCAGTTGAGCATTTTGCTATGGACCAGAATCTCCTTGACAGCCCTCTGCAGTTTCCTTATGGACTCCATCACAAGGCTGAAGGTTTCCTGGAAGTTCCCATTCCCTTCCTTTGCCCAGGCTGCCTGAATCTCTCTGATCCACGCCAGGATATCATCCAGCTGCTCCTGCACCTCCCTCTGCTCCTCCAGCTCAGCTAGCAGAGCTTCTCTGGCACAAACTTCAGCTTCATAGGCTCTGTGGAGATCTGCAAGGGACGACTCAAGCTTCAGTACTTCCTGAAAGGAGCAGCATAGACAAAAAGGCTTTATTCATCACAAAGATTGTACAGAAACAGAAATTAAACAATGCATTTCTTCATGTTTGGTTCCAAAAATGTAAAAAAAACAAACAAAACAAAAAACAATAAACCACTAGAATTGTTTTTAAAGTTTGAAGATGTTTTCCTTACCATCAGGAAGCCTTTTCAATTCAAAATGTCTGGATTAGCGTCGAGTTCCAGGCTTTATAGAGTAGCCCAACAAAGCCTTGTTTTGGCTTAGAAAACATGCAAATTGAACTGGAAGAACGGGTCTGTCCCCTTCAGAGGCAAAGACCAGTATCTGGTATTTCAGGCGAAGAAAGACCTCAACAACTCCCCATTACTGAGGGTTAGACCTGTTCTTTTGGTTCAATTTGCATGTTTTCTAAGGCATAACAAGGCCTTTGTTGGGCTGCTCTATAAAGCCTGGAACTCAATGCTAATCCAGACATTTTGATTTAAAAAAGCTTCCTGGATGGGAAGCAAAACATCTTCAAATTTAAAAAGCAAAGTCCAGTGGATTGTTTTCTAACTGTTTTGGAATGACTATGACCTGGATGACTGAGAAACTTCACCAGCATACTTCATGTTTGGTGTTTGAGCCTTTCCTCTCAACTTTCTACGAAATGCATGCCCAAGATCTGCGTGATCTTCATGTTGGTAAAAGATGACTTTGTTTTATCCCAAACAAGTCTAGTAAGAGAATCATGAAGCTTTAAATCCACAGTAATTCATACTACCACCAAGAAACCCCTTCACACGTATCTCCAAAAGATCAATTTATATCATTACAGCTGAATGATAATAGTGTTTTACCTAAATAAATCAGGGCTTTATGTTGATATGCTTTCTTTATGCATATGCTAAATGCATTTTAGCCATAATACCAAAAATAAAAAGTAAGGCTGAAAATAAATACTGCTTATCACTTTTAACACACCACCTCCATGGACAAGCACGGTAGTGGCAGCATCATGCCTGTGCATTGGGGATACTTGAGCAAACGGAAGCAACCAAGACAACAGGCCTACAAATACAGCCAGAGCTGGAGGAAAATGCTTACCATCTGAGAATATTCGTGTTAGTCAAGACATTAAGCACATAAAACCTTAATGAAGTGACTAAATGTCAGAAAAATGTTAAATTAAATTGTTTAAATATAGACAGCATTTAACTCTTTCCTCACCTCTATGTCCTGGGGGTATTTCTGATGGGACTGATCCTCTGGCAACAGGACATTTGGAGGTATGATGAAACACCGACTCATAAGCAGCGCCTCCATTCGCTCCGCCAGCTGCTTGAAGCGCTTCTCCAGGAAGAGCTGCAGCTGGCGGGTGCAGTCTCTGGCCCTGGACCGGACTGACTCCTCGGCACTATTCGGTTGGCCTTTCACCAGCTCACTGACGCAAACCTTCTCCACCGAAGCTAAAATGTAACACAGGCATTCATGAAAGGAGCTGTAGATCCGCTCCATGCAGGTCTGCGGAGTGAAGCCAAAAAACTGCGCTTCGTAAAGTTTTAGAGATGAAGAAGAAAAGCGGCTCATTTCTTCTTTATCTTCTTCAACTATTTCCATCCCCAACATTGTTTCCCGCGCCATATTTAACTGTTCATGACTAGCTTCTTCTTCTTCTTCTTCTTCTTCTTCTTCTTCTTCTTCTTCTTCTTCTTCTTCTTATTCTTCTTGTCGAGTTTTATGGCGGTTGGCAACAAACTGTTAGTAGCATTACCGCCACTTACTGGTATGGAGCGTGGTTCGTGATGGTTTAAATATTTATCCTGATAAATTCCACCCTAACTTCTTCTAAACATACATTCACACACTCACACCTAAAAATATATACATATTTGTGCACAGCTTTGTATATCATTCCTTCACTCACAAACACACTTACTATAATTAAATTCTATGGAATAATTTCGTTTTCTTTAGAAATCGAATAATTATTTGTATGTGTCTACTCCCTAAATTTTTCCTCAGTATATCTAATAAATTAACCTTCTCCTTAATGTCTTCAAACTCTCTTCTCATATATCTTCTCTCTCTTTCATATTTATGACATTCTAATATAACATGTTCTATGGTTTCATATTTATCACAGAAATCACATTTGCCCGTTTTATGTTTTTGTATTTTAAAAAGTTTATAATTAAGTCCTGTATGACCAAATCTTAACCTTGTTATCACTCTTTCCTCCTTTCTATTTCTTCTTCCATTTCTTCTTTCTCCTACCATCTTCTGAATTTTATAAAACCATCTTCCTGTTTTATCTTCATCCCACCTTTTTTGCCAAATTTCCACAAGTTTCTCTTTAATAATACTCTTTCCTTCTGATTTACTTATTTTAACTATAAAACTAATAGAATGTTTAATTGCCCTTTTTGCCATTTTATCTGCCCTCTCGTTTCCTTCTACCCCAATATGTGCTGGAACCCACACAAATGTAACAATCAGCCCCATGTTTCGTATTCTGAACAGTGTATGATTTATTTCTAATAAAATGTCCATCCTACTATCTGTTTGGTTATTTTTTAAACTTAACAATGCAGAGCTTGAATCTGAACATATTATTGTTTTTAATGGTTTTATTTCTTCTACCCATTGTAACGCTAATAATATTGCCAACATTTCTCCTGTGTATACTGATAATCCATCTGTAATTCGTTTTCCTATTTTTATATTGAATTCTGGTACTACAAATGCTATTCCTAGTTTCTCAGTTATTTTTGATGCATCAGTATAAATTTGAATATATTGATAATAACTGTCTAAATGTAACTGTACTAAATTAATATCTATCGTGTACGATTTATCTTGTTTCTTTTCCATTAGTGACATATCTACTGTTGCTTCTGGTAGAATCCGGGGAGGTATAATTGATATTGGTGTTGTTTGACTCATTTCTAAACTATTCATTTTAAATTTTTTTATTTTATTTTCAATTGTCCATCCAAAACTCCTCATTTCTTTCTTTTCTTTTTCCCAGCATGGATTTAAAATGTCCAAAGTTGGGTGATCCCCATTATTTCCTTGTAAATTTAACCAGTAATTAACTTCTAATTTTGTTCTTCTTAAATCTAATGGCATTTCTCCCATTTCTATTTCTAATGCTGCTGTTGGTGTGGTTTTAAATGCTCCAGTACATAATCTTAGTGCCTGATGTTGGATAATGTCTAATTTGGTTAGATGTGTTTTAGCTGCTGAACCGTACACTAAACAATCTATGTTGGATCTTATCATACTTGTGTAAATCTGTTTTAGTGATTTCCTATCTGCTCCCCAGTCACTGCCAGCCAAACATCTCAAAATATTCAAGATTTTCTTACATTTATCAACAACTCTTTGTATATGTATATGCCATTTTAATTTTTCATCAAACCATAATCCTAAAAAATATATACACTTTACCTGCTCTAACTCTTGTTCATATAATTTTAATTTTATTTCCTTGTTTATTTTTTTCTGAGTAAATAACATTACTTTTGTTTTATCAACTGAGAACTTAAATCCCCATTGCAACGCCCATTTCTCTATTTCAGTAATAACCTTTTGTAATTTTTTGACTAGCTTCTTCTTCTTCTTCTCTAGGTTTTAATGGCAGCTTGCATCCATTATTGTTGCACTACTGCCATCTATTGGATCCTAATATCTATATCCCCAATTATCCTAATAATCCCAGTATTTATATATATATATATATATATATATATATATATATATATATATATATATATATATATATATATATATATATATATATATATATATATATATATATATATATATATATATATATATATATATATATATATATATATATATATGTCCTTAGTGTTGAGTGGAAAAACCGAGTCCTGATCTTTATCGCAACCTTCTGGTAGGGAGGGGAACTGCTAAGTCATCCACTTACTGGTATCTTTTGGCTATAAAGCATTGCCAGGAAATCAAAGAAAATATTCAATAATGTAAATTTGATTTCAACATGAAGAAATTGAAACACAGTTTTATCAACAAATTATAGGAAATAGAAGAAAAAAACCCTTGAAAGTAAAATTTTTCGTATCTGTTTATGTCATGATAGCTGGATTCTCTGTGACAGACCAAAACAAACTTAAGATAAGAATACCTAAGTGGAAAGAAGCATTTTACAAATACAAATCTTAAAATTGCAGTATGTGTTTGTATTTAGCCCCTTTTACCCTGATACTTACACATATATTCATGTAAAACAATCACTTTCAGAGTGTAATTTAAATTCAGGATTAAAATCGCTGTTCTATGTTTAGCCTGAGACTATTCTGGGGTCTAAATGCACAAATGAGGCCTAGGAACGCACAAGACAGGTCAATGAAACATATTTGGGGAAGAGTAAAGTAGGTTTAGAAAATAAAACAATATTCCTGGCCCAGAACACAGTAATTCAAAACCTAAAAAAATATTGTACAGCTGCAAACCCAACAGACCACTGACTTCTGTCTAGACTGACAGTCAAAGCAAGGAAAGCATTCATTTCAAAGCAGCCAAGCGTTTATGATAAACATGGTGTTAGTAGCATCATGATGTGGGCCTACAGTGTATCATGATGTGGATACACTGTAGGCCCAGGGATAGTTTTCATTTGTTGGTCAAATACAGAATCAAAATCCTGTTTCTTTGTGGGGGAAAAATGTCTCTCTTGAGAAGTTTTGATAAAATCAATAACTGATTTTTTATTCTGTCACGTAATAACTAGCTAATATTAGTCATGTAACAGGAGCTCTTTCCAAATTATGAGCCGTAATTACTAAAAAAAAAACTATATCAATATCAACAGGGTCATGAAGCTATTCCAAATATAAAGTAGCAATGATTTCAATTTGTAAACTTAAACTTATAAATCACTTTTTTAAAATTATTATTCTATTAATTCATTACAAAAAAAAAGGTTGCAAAGGAAAATTAAATGCTGTTGCAGATTAAATTATACAGGTCTCTTCAAAGTCTTTTTTTGGATGCTGATGGATGTGGGCAGTAGTGACGTCCTGCAGTGGTTGATCTTAAAGCGGCTCTGTTGAGGCCTCAGACTCAACAGTGTGTTTTTGTACGACATTCGTGGAGCGGATACTGAGGGTTTTCTGTAATAGCCCTCATTTTTATTTTCATTCCTGGTTTTATTTAAGATGTGATACTACTATGAATCTATCAATATACATCTCACTAATAAACCAGAATGCAAATCAGAGGTGGTTAAATGAGAGTAGGCCTACCTACTTGGTGCATATTCAATTCAGCAACTTTTTCTATATAACTCAGGACATAGCTATTACGGTTTTAAACTGACAGTAAAAACATACAGTTAGTTATACAGTTAGTTATGCAGTTATTCTGGAAAAAATTGCACATTTACTGCAATTTTTTACCCATGATGTCTCAAAATGATATCTATTCTGATGTCATATGATACTGTGTGATAGTATTGTCGTGAAATTATAAAAAAAAAAATATGTGAGCTATGTCAACAGCTGTGACAGAACCAGTCGCTATAGGAAAGCTCTTTCTTTTTCCAAACAATGTGAAACAAATATGGAAAATCTAATTGGGAATGCTTATCACATAAATAAAAATATACCGGAGTGTTTTATAACTCTTTCTCTTAGCTGGTTACATGCAGGCATTGACTTTGCAGGCACAATGGACAGTCACTTGCTTTGTGTTGATTACTCTGCAGCAAAACCTTAAAATTAAGCAATGTTTCAGTGACAGTGAAGAGGGAAAAAAACCCTTTTAATAGGAGGAAACTTCCAGTAATGAGTCCCAGGGGTATCTATAACAGATTGGTCACATAACAAGGATAAGACAATAACAGAGAAAAAAAAAATGTGACAAGAAGGATGGACATATAAATAATAATAATATGAAATAATAATAATAATGAAAATCAAAAAATATATTAAGCTGTTACTAAGTAAAAGGAAATGTGATCTGAATGTTTTAAACATTAAATTCCGAATGCAGCACACCATTCTTTACAAAAGACTCTGAAACCAGTACTGAATTGTACTGAACTGAAACCAGTTGTATGTTGCATACGCTATAAAAGTTTAAACAGAGAAAAACATTTCCTTTTTGGGACTTTAATAAACAATGAAAAACATATATTTAATTGGAAAAATATCTTGTGTTACTATGTTAAAAAATAAAGCACTACAATGTCTCTGAAAGTAAGAAGTAAGAGGAGAAGAATGCAGAATCGAGGAGTGCAGGGAAGAAACTGAAGAAAAGTGCTGCAACTGTGACGGCCAGTACAGAGTCAACCATGGAGGATGTGAGGTGAGAAAGAAAGCAGTGGAAATACAACATATTAAAACAATAAAAAATATAAGCGACACAGAAGCAGTGAAGAGAGCTCAAGGACAAAGGACAGGAGAAATGAATCAAGCTCAGAATGAGGTCTAAAAGCAAAATAAAGAAGAAAGAGAATATAGTTTCACTCAAACAGTAGAGAAACTCCTTTGATTCGTAGCCCATGTCATCAACTGCACAGACCAAGCCAAACATAAGACAGAGACAATCAGGATCATTACCAGAGACCTGAAACATTTAACCCTAACCCTTTGGAAAAAAAGTGTTACATGGTTGGAGATGGAGGGAAAA